CAAGTACCTTCCTCAAAGATTTCCTTTGTAGCCTGTGTAGATTAAATAAATTAATATTTGTAAGTTCACTTAGAACTTTGCTTGATGTTTATGTATCTGCATATATCATTATTATTATTCCATTATTATTAGTCTACTAGCACTGTCATTACAGAATATCTTAGGGTAAGTATTTTAAACAAGATAAATTTATTGTCTCACAGTTCTGGAGACCGGTAGTTCGAAATCAAGGTGGCAGCAGGGTTGGCTTCCGGTGAGGCCTCTCTGTCTCTTTGGCTTGCAGGTGGCCACCTTCTTGTCATGTCTTCATATGGCCTTTTCTCTGTGAGTGAAGTGCCAGGTTGGAGTGCAGTGGCGTAAACTTAGCTCACTGCAACCCCCACCTCCCAGGTTCAAGCAATTCTCCTTCCTCAGACTCTTGAGTGGCTGGGACTACAGGTGCATGCCACCATGCCAAGCTAATTTTTGTATTTTTGGTAGAGACGGGGTTTTAACATCTTGACCAAGATGGTCTCAATCTCTTGACCTCTTGATCCGCCCACCTCAGCCTCCCAAAGAGCTGGGATTACAGGCATGAACCACCGCACCTCGCCTCGCCCCTCTCCCTCTTCTTATAAGGACTCCAGTTCTGTTGGATTAGAGCCTCATCCTTATGATATCATTTAACCTTAATTAATTCCTTAAAGGTCCTACATTCAACTACAGTCACGTTGTGGTTAGGACATCAACCTATAAATTTTGGGGGAACACAATTCACCCCTTAATAGGATATGTATGCTAATTTGATTATTATTAGGTATTTAGGTTGGTTTCTGTTCTTGCCACAAAAATATTCATGCCTCAGTGAACACTATCCATTATTATTTCCTTAGTATAAATTAATGTAAATAGAAATATCAAAGAGCATGTGGAATATTAAAGCTTTTGAGACATGTTGCCAAATTGCCCTCCAGAAAGCTTAGACCAATTCACATGTCCACTAGCCGAATAAGACTTATATTTTTTCAATTTCTTGCAAGAAATACAGGCTTTTTAGACATCGTTGAAGCCTGGTTATGCCCCGCTATCCCTGTACCTTGACCTACTCCCTCCAATACACATACAAAGTTGTCCTCTTGAAAATCAATATACCAGAGGGAAAATTAGAAAAAAATATATGTTGGCCTACTCAACATCAGCAAGAAGATTTATATTAATAAGTATTCTGTTTACTGGCATAAAACTTTGCAACTAAAAAGTGTAGTTACAGAAAATATCAGGATTATGTCAAGTCAAACAGAAGAGGAATATGAGATTTAAACAGCAAAAATTAAAATAAACGTGCAAACAAATGTTAAAGGGAAAAAAGACTTAAAGGTAACATAAAATTAAGCAAATAAGATTGAAATAGATAGTGAAAACTGAAAGCTTAATTTTACAAACATCAAGTTACTTTTTAGTGGAAAAGTAATTTAAAAAAATTAATAGCTTTACTATGTTCAGATAAACAGAGAAATAGAAATAGTAGTACAATAAAAACTTTTATATACCCACAATATACATTAAACTAGTTAACATTTTGTTTATCTACAAAGTATTGTTTATAACAATAGGGAACATATTGCTTTATCTATGTTTAAGTATTTTTTTCTCAATAATTTGAAGACTGACATTCCATTCACTGTCATTGCCTGTAGTCCTTATATATCTAAAATCTTTCTGCAATTAGTGGGTAATCTAGGGCATAATATTTTGAAACATGTGAAAGCTCAGTTCCTTAAGTTTTTCCTTAATGGGGTTAGCATGTGGTGGCGATCTTTGATTGGATTAGCTTATTTCATTGTGGGAGTCTAAATGGATTTTTTATATTTTAGAGTTCCTTCTGTATTTATTAGCTGACAATTCTGTATAAAGAAGAACTTCCTTCACTAATTCATTAACCAAAATATCTGAACACATGCTGTATTCATTTTTTATCAACAATTTTCAGATTAAGAAGTTGATATGAGTCACCTTCAATGGTGACAAATGCCATTATTTCCCCATTTTTTAGGGATCATTATAGACATACATATTTTATGATTTCAGTGTTAGTTTCTTCTTTTCATCCTGAATTTGTCTTAAATATTGCCAGCAAGAGCTCTTTCAAGCCATCCTTGTGTTCTTTTGACATAACATCATTGGTTTTTGAGTATTTCCTTGCTTTCCCATGCAATAGGCTCTAGGTTCCCCTGTTAACATCAGTTTGGTTTCTGTGAGGTATTCCTCCAACAACATTTTACATACACACACACACACACACACACACACACCCATATATGTGATTATGTGAGTGTGTTTATATATATATATATCTCAAGAAATGTGAAATAAGGAAGCAAATAATTATAATTTTAAATTTTATTTTATTCTTTTTAGAGACAGGGTCTTGCTCTGTTGCCCAGGTTGGAGGGCAGTGGTACAATCATAGCTCACTGCAGCCTTGAACTCCTGGGCTTAATTAATCCTCCTGCCTCAACCCTCCAGAGTAGCTGGGATTACATGTCACTCTTGGGAGTAATTGATCTGTTATTCTTAAGTTGGAGTTTTCCCAGAGCAAATTCTGAGACAATGACTTAGGTACGGGTAGGTAATTTGAGAAATGATTCCAGGAAGCCAGCATGAGGGAGGAGATAGAGAAATAGAGATGAGAAAGGGAGCAAAGTCTAAAAAGTAGGTTAATGACCTCATTACCACTGTGGGACATTGGGGCTCAACCCCTTGGCGGCCATTGAGGATACAGGAAACTGAGATATTTATCAACTGCATTTTCTCCTTTGTTGAGAATTTCCTGGAACACTGACTCTTCTGGGTATAGATGATCAAGTATTTGAATGTTATATCAAGCCCTTAGGCTGAGAGGAAGAACTCTGTCAGTGATTCAGGGTTATAGATGAGACAAAGAGATAGGGTCAAGGCATCGATAAAGGCAATAAATACAGAAGGATCATCTACTATCTTGAGAAGTTAAAGTTAGTGGCTCCTTGACTATAATGTTCTGTTTCTCTTCTTTGCTTCCCACTTGGCCCTTGGTCTCTACCAGTCTGAATGCCAATACATCTGGATCCAGAAGAGTCCAAGTGAGCAGTTTCCCCCTTCATCTTCTTCTTCCTAAAGACTGTCCATGGGGTTCTATCCCATGGGAAAGGCTATATTTCACTTAGATTGCTCCCCATGCTCCACACTCACATTGCCAAGTATCTATTGAGCATGTCCTGTTGGATGGCCCCTAGATTCCTCAAATCCATCCTGTCATCATGGAGGAAGTTATCACCTTTCCCCAGTCCTGCTCCCTTACCACTGGTAGCATGAATGGCACTGCCTTCTACCCAGCTGCCCAAGCCAGAAGGCAGTATTGCCTTGATTCTTTCCTCTTGCCACAGCCAAGCATTCATGTTCCAAATGCTTTCGAGACTCATCTGCATCTCTCCATTACCACTGTCTCTACTCTATTTCACCTTCTTTTGCCTTGAGTACTGTGTCAGTCTCCATACTGATTCTCTGATGTTGCCTGCCTCTAACCCCTTCTCCATACTGCAGCAAGTTGAATTCTCTAAATGCCACAAGAGCAATTGAACCTAACACTATTTTTCTTAGACTTCTGCTTGCCTTAAGTATAAAGTTAAGTCTTTAAAGTGGCTGGCATGCCCTTCTTGATCTAGCTATTGTCTTCATCTCTCTACCTCATAATATGTCACCACCACCCACTCCAAGATTCCCCCCCACCCCCACCACCACATGCACCTTGAACACCATATTCTGGCTACTGGGTTTCTCTCAGGGCTGCAATGCACTTCTCTCCTTCCGAACAGCACTGCTACTCTTTGAACATAGAATACTCCTCCTGCACTCTTTAACCTGGGGTAACTACTCCCATCTCACCTTAAGGTATCAGAAAACACACCTTTGAGGCACCTGCTATAACGTCTTCTAGTAAGCACCACATACTTTTTTTTAAAGATGGGGTCTTGCTGTTGCCCAGGCTGGAATGCAGTGGTGTCATCTTGGCTCACTGCAACCTCTGCCTCCCAGGTTCACGTAATTCTCCTGCCTCAGCCTCCCAAGTAGCTGGAATTACAGGCACATTCTGCCATGCTCAGCTAATTTTTTGTATTTTAGTAGAGAAAGGGTTTCATTGTGTTCTCTAGGCTGGTTGTGAACCCCTGAACTCAGGTAATCCACCCACCTCGGCCTCCCAAAGTGCTGGGATTACAGGCATGAGCCACTGCGCCTGACCCACATACTTTTTTTAACCTCCTTCTGTCCCATTTTCTTATCTATAAATGGAATAGATAATATTCACCTTGTAAGAGAGTTGTGAGGATTACATGAATTAATGTTACAGAATCCTTGGGGTGTTATGTGTCACTATTCTGGCTGGAAACCTCTGTGGCTGGTGGTGCCTTTGCCTGACTTTTGCTTGGGCCCACTCAGCCCATTGAGCCCACTTGGACTGTCAGGCTGTGCTCAGCTTATGCTACCAGCCTTGGTCCCACATCTGCCAAGGGCAAGCCAGGCATGGAGTGGCAAGGGGTGTGTGAGTGAGCAGGTGGGGGTCTGGCCACTGCTCAGTGTCAGGCATGCCAGCTACTGCAGTGGGGTGGGCAGCTCCAGGTACCAGGACAGGCATTGGCTCTTTGAAAGGCTGTGCCTGGACCAGGTGTACTACAAGCAGCTTCCCCATCTGGCACCAGGGAATGTGGTGGCACCCAGCAGCTTGGAGATGCTAGGAACTACACGGCCTCAAAGAGGGAGCCGCAGCCCTGGCTTGGGGAGCTCCCAGGTCTGGGATCCCTGAAGGGCCACAGCTCTTCTCTGCCTCTCTTCACTGGCAATGTGGCAAGCAAGGGGCATGTTTCAACCCTGTTTGTGTTACAGCTCTTCTAGCCTTGCCATTCAACAGGTCCCAAGTTCTTGTCCTGTGACCAGGAAGAATGAGGCAATGAAGAATGAGGCAATGAGGCACACAGACAAGTGGAGGGTGAGCAAGACAAAGAGGAGCTTTATTGAGCAGCAGAACAGCTCAAAGACCCACTGTGGGTATCTCCTGTCTGCAGCCAGGGTGTCCTGACCAGTATTCAGCCCTCAGCAGAGAGGAGGCAGCTCTGGCGTGGGTGACTCCTCTCTGCTGCTGGTCACCCCATAGTCTTCGCAGCTCTTAGCAGAGAGAAGTCCCTGGAGTGGGTTGTTTCTTTCTGCAGGCAGATCATCCCTGGAGTGGGAAGCTCCTCTCTGCAGCTGGTCATCCTGTGGTCTTCTCTGCTGTGGCTGATTCTGGGGGTTTTTGTGGTCTTCAGAGGGGTCAATGCTTCTGATTAGTTCATGAGCAGCCAGGGGTTGACCCAGGAAAAAGCACCATGAGTTCCTCCTCTGATCTGCAGGACTGGCAGCCCAGTCCCCAGGCTTTAGGCCTTCCCTGGCCAAAGGTGGGGCCTCACCCAAGATCCACTCTCTTTTGCCCAGGAGCCTGCCTGCCTCCTGCTGTGGTCCATGGCTCCCAGGCTACTTGCACCAAGGGGTGCCTTCAGGCCAATGCTGAGCTGCCCTCAGCCCCCGCTTGACTTCCCTCCCAAACTCATTGGTGCCTGAAGTCCAGAGGAGTTCTAGTTGGCAGAGGGCTGTTGTGTCAGCGCTGCCTCAAACATGCACCCACTAGAGAGGGCTGTGACAGCATCCGAGCTTGGCCCCAATCTTGCTCTGTGATTGGAGTGGGCTCCAGGAGCAGGGAGAGACCACGTAGTGGCAGCAGGCACTTACAAGACTGTTGGGGGAAGGGGACCTTCCTGGGCCCCCAAGAGCACAGAGATGCCCTGGTCCACAGCCCGGCTTGGGCAGCTCCTATAATACCACTGGGGAGGGCAGGGCTATCTGCTTCGTGGAGCGGGAGGCCCGGGCCATACTTCCTCGCTGCAGCCTGCATCTTTGCAGGCAGCAGCAGACAATCTGGAGCAGCCACTGCCATCATTAATAAATAATGCAGAGTACTTAAGTAAGCACTCAATAAATATTAGCTATTTCTATTAGAGTATCATATCAAATTATAACTACCTGTTTAATTAGCTGTCTCTCCATCTGGACAGAAAGTTCCATGAAGGCAGCAATCTTCTGTCTGTCTTGGTCATACCTGGTTCTTCAGCACTGGGTCCGTTGCCCCAAAGCAGGGACTCAGCCTGAAGCAAGGCAATTTCTCAGAGCTGTAAGGAGGTGGTGGAGAAAGGAATGTGTGTATAAATGACTCGTGTTAGGAGAGGTGGGACATTTAGGGTGTTACATGTTCAGGTTTTCAGGAACAATTTGTAGCAAGGACTGAAGAAGAAGGACACTAAATGATCCTATTTAATCCTCACAATGGTTCTGTGAAGACAATTGCTTTACTGAAGAGGCATCTGAGTAGTGGAAGGATTAAATGACTGCTCTAGAGTCCTAAAGTAAGGACGCAGAGAAGCTGTCTGCCCAGCCTCTTTGCTCATCTCTTCCCCAGCTATGTTCTGTATAACATATTAACAACTCGGTATGTTAAGAAATGTTAGTGAAAGAATTTAAGGGCAGAAATGAATATGGAGACCACAGGGCTAAGTAAAAGTGAATGTTGTTTTTTTGTTGCAGGGCTGCTCAGAGCTTTTACTATGCTAATGAGAATGGTAACTTTCCAAGAAGAGAAAGCATGGAGCGGGCCTAGATCACTTAAACACAGAACCCTGTGTTCCTGGAGCCCTCTTGGGAGACAGCATTGGCCCTTGCTCTTAGCCCTCTACCCATGCTGCCTACCTCACTTCTGCCATCAAGATTTGGTAGTTTCCGATCCTTGACATTTAACATTTAGTAATGACTCAATTCCACAATAAAAAGATAATCTCTGTTTAGTGCTCATTTGACTCAAGAATTGTGCTCATGGTGCTAGATGCTGTGGTAATACTGCAAAGGTGCCTGTTTTTCTGACAATATTGCTACTGAGAGAAAGATAAACAATAACAGTGATAGCAGAATCTTACAGTGCTTGGGAATTTTTTCAAAATACACTCATAGCTTGTGCTACTTGATGGGATACATGCATTAGACATTATTAGCCCCATAGAACAGATGACATTATAATCTCAAGGAGTCAGATGACTTGCTCAGTCACATGACTATTCATTTGGGATTTTTTTTTTTTTTTTAGGTTTTTCTCAATTTAAGGGCTGTTCACCCCTACCAATACCTACCACACGATTCTCTGTGAATCTAAAATTTCTAACATAGTAAATTTTATATACACATCTAATACACAGAGAAATATATTACAATTCTTTCTAGAATGGTGAAGCTGGAATAGACCCTAGGAACTTTTTAAAAGCTAATCTCCACATTTTATGGCAGAAGGAACTCAAGTTCAAGGACGTTCAATGACATGCATAAGATCACCCAGCAAGCTTGTAGCAGAGCAAGACTGAAATATTCTGGACTATCCAAATCATCTCCTATTTTTAATTCTATCGCTGCTTTTCACAAAGTACATTTGTTTTATTCCTGCCTAAGTGTTGAGCTTGAAACTACTCAGCAAGTAAGTTTGTTCCTATCGCTATGATGCTGGGTGGCTTTTGTTTACCCTTCTATTGTTTGAGAAGATTTGGCCAGAAGGAAAACTGTTAAATCTTCACATTGGCAGTGATCTCTAAGACCCATAAAAGATTAATCACCGAGAGAACCCATAACCTTGCATGATCAAAGTAAAAGTTCAGTTTTTATGGCTGCCTGTGTTTTATCCTCTATAAATTTTATAATAATGATTAGGCTCAAAGTATGGGCATAATTTACATACATCAAAATGCCTCACACTGTCCTTACAGCCAGTTAAACACCTGCAGCAAATACAAGGAAGCATATTAGAAAGAAGAAAACTGCCAGGCTCTCTCAGGCATTAATCAGTGGAACCTCTTTGAGGGCGAGAAGGAGAAAGAGGGAAAGAGGGAGATTGAGAAAGAAATGTAATGGTGGTCTCCTGTAACCAAGTCATGCATAGTGTGTTCACATAGGAACAGCAACTTCGCATTTGTCAGAAATACGCTTAGTTCAGCCTTTTCTCCCTTCCCAAAATGATCAGCCTTATTTCCCAGAAATGCTTTTTCTCTGACATTAACCAAGAACTCTTTGGAAATATCAGCACAGGAAAGACTTTAGAAATTGTTGCTATTTAACATGACTGGTTGCTTCCACCCGTGCCCAGAATATGTTAGTCTATTGATAGATGTGGTGCGAGTCCCTGAGTCTTTGTACCTTCCCTCTCTATCCTCCCACTTAGTTCTACCATGGATTGATTCTGCCTCCTAGCAAAGAGTTAAAGGTTACCATGCAGGGATTTAAGTCCGGACACACTGGCAGACATGTACCAAGGCAACGGCAGCTACAAATAGCATGTGGTACAAGCTTTTAGGGTAAACATCAATTTCTCCAATTTGCTGTAGCCTGAGAACCTTGTAAGCCTAGTGAATGAATTCTGAGTGTGGGTTTTGTGCTGGATAGATGGAGCAGAGGTTGTTTTTATAAAGCTCTGTTAATGTACACTGATTCCTCAGTTTAAATATTGTGAGGGGTGAAAGCCACAGCTGTTTCACTCACTGCCCTTCTAACATGTGCGTTTTCAGTCTTGGACAGGGGCTGCCCTGCAGTCTCTCACCTGGATTCAGCTTCACACTGATGGGGGAGGTTGCCAGAGCTTGTCCCCAGACACCAGGCAAAGGGTCCCCTCATCTTTCTGCTTGTTGAAACCCTATCTCCATCTTCAAGTCCTCTACCTAGCTTTCAGCTTAAACCATTCGCTGCTACACATTTATCTATGAGTTGTGCCCGATATTTGGAAATATTTTCTGGTTCCATGAGATCTTTAGATTCCCATGATAGGTATTGAGCTCTTTTCACTCAGTGTGCACTGTGTTAAGTGCTTTATGAGGACTGTCTTATTTTATACATATTTTTCTGTGAGATAGATACAATTATTGTCCATTTTATTGTGATAAAAAAATGAAACCCTTGGTGAAATAACTTGCCCCAAGTCACAGAACTACTAAGTGCCAGACCCGAGATCCCAACTGAGGCAGTCTAAATCCATTTAGAACTTTCATCCCCTGCACTGTGTTTCTCTTCAGAGTCCTTTGTGACTTACTAAGCTTCCATATTTATATCTGGCCTTTTATACTGGACAGAGCTCCCTGAGAACTGAATGTTATTCACGTGTCTTTGTTCCCCCTTCCCCCAGTGTACCTAGGACACTCAAATATTTCTTAATTTCAAAGGGCCAAAGCAATCCTAGGAAAAGCCAGGACAACCACTAAAACCTACGAAACCAGTAGGCATAGAAATATGTTTCTCCCCAAAGGAGACCTGGCTTTTTCTTAATGATGTTAAAAGACTGGAATATGATAATTTAGTTGAAAGACAACTTTGAATATAAGTTTCGTTAATCAGAATGGGTATTCCTACAATAATGAGCCCTGAGTTGAATTTTAGAACCCTCTTTATGCTTTGTTGGTAACAAAGCTGTTATAAAAATAATTTGGTAAGATAGTCCATTGAAATGGTATAACTTAACTGTGTAAAAAGGTGCCTTAGCCTGGTATCTGAGCACACCCAACTTATGTAATGCTAACATAATGGATTATGCATATTGTATTGGGTTAAAAATGAAACCCAGTGAAGTATTACAGCAATTTAAAAAATATATATCAGGGCTTGTTCAGCACAGATATTTAAAATTTAAACGTGTTTAAATATTCAACTGAAACTAAAATAAAATTCTGAAAAATGGAATTCAATAGAAAGGCTCCATTAAGAGTAAAAATGCTTCTCCAAATCCATTTGGTTCTAATAGAAACCCATCGAGTGAGGTTTCCATTGTTGCAGCACCAGCCAAGGGAAAAATTATACATACATTTGGGTAGGAGAAAATCAGCTGGACTTCCTGTGGTATGAGCTTTCCTTAGAAAAGGAGGAGAAAAGAGAAGCTTTGAAACAACACTCAGATTGGGCCACAGTTTGTTTAAAATGGTCTGGAGCTCTTTCTGAAAGATGATCTTCCCCATTTATTCTCTTGCTTCAGTGAAACCTCATTTCACCTTCCACATCAAATGTGATTCTAAAAAGAAAAAAAAATTGGCAACTTTTGCTGCAATATCAGGATACTGACCAATCTGCCTTGTGAAAAGCTTTCTTTCCCTGATAAACAACCTGCAGGATGTTTTTATTCAATTAATTGGAATGATTGCTTGCACAGAAATGTACCGCTTTATCAAGGTCTGCTTGAATATCAGGCTTGGGCTGAGCCCCAGCCTTTTCGTTACTCAGTTCTCCAGAGAGCAGATACATGAGGATTCTGAAACGTAATTAAAACAATCAGTGAGAATTAGCCGGCTCCGTTACTGCACTCAAACACCAAACCAGGGGAAGCAAATAGGGAGATGTATGGGTAAGTGAACAGGAGCCTTCCAGAGAAGAGGGAGGGCCGGGAGGAGACATAAAATGGAGGGTGTTATGAGAAGAAATATAGGATAATATAAACAGAGTCTCTAATCCTGAGGACTGTAAATCCCCTTTCCTTAATTGGTTTAGAAACTGGGGTCTGTAATGTGAGAAGGAGGGCTCTAGCTGCCTTTCTTCTTTGCTGCCGGGAATCACATTAAGTGGGAAACAATAGCAGGGCTGACAGCTCCCTTTCTGTGGGGGCACTTAGAGCCGATCTGCCATTGAGACTAATACAATTACACGGGATTAGAGCCCTGCTGAGGATACCTAGATTGGGGAATTCTCAGTGGAAGTGGAGCTGGCTCTTTCAAAATAGGGCATGGGGCTGAAGAAGGACAGCAGACCAAGACCACAGTGCTTCTATTTTACAATGAAGGGAAATAACTATGATTTTATCGTGAACTCAGGATCTTGACCATACATTCTAATTCAAACAGAATTCGAATTTGAGATTTCTTCTTTGGCACTTCACACTATTTTGCTTACTTTCAATGATTTTTAGTTGAGTTTAGATATTTCCTTGCAAGAGTACACCTTTCTACTTGTTCTCACAGTGTAAGCTTCACTTTAGTTTCTCAAGACAGAGAGGGAACCTATATTTAGGAATTTAGGAGTTATGACTGGCCAGAGGGTCATTCCTAGTCTCCACTTGCATTCCCTTTGCAAACTTGAACTGACAGATACTGCGGTTTTTGTTTGT